AGCATGGGAAACGTCTGGGGATGTACAGTCAACGATACGATGATGGAAACTATCATGAATAGCATAGCAGTGGACTCAGAACTAGATGTTCTGCAAGCTCCTCCTGTCGCACAGACCAAGTTGTGAAAGCGAGCTCAAACAAACACTATACAGCTAAGTGGATTGCGACCAAACCTAAAGCCGCATAACCTTGGATTTCCTATCTACGATTAAATTTTACAACACAATGCCCGTTTCTTTTTTCCATAGGATTGGGTTTCACTGATTTTACTTTTAATTAAATATCTACCTTGAAAAAATGAGCAGTGATAACTGAAAATTATAGGATGTATCGCAAACTGACCTCAGCCCGTATGATAAATTTTTCGCAGTCCTTGACTTCCCGGCTTAATCGACTCGTTAGTTCCTCCAGATGAACTCTTGCTTCCTGGATCACGGCTAATTCCCGGGTAGCCTGAGCCAGTAAGCTTTCCGTGTCACCTGCTCGATCGACCTCGGCCAAATCTTCAGCCTTGGATGTAAAAATTGTGCCGGAAGTGCAGACTTGGGTTATATCAGTAGCGATGCGGCCAGATAAGGGTCGAAATCCTCCACCACTCATTGCACCAGAAACTTCGATCAACTGGCCCTGCAAAGAAAATGATCAATTCAAGTTATTATAAGACAAAATTTAGATAACTCAGAATGAGGCTCAGCAAGCATGGGAAAATGCTTTGAATCTCAACGGTAAACTACGTAAATTCTAACGAAATTTTGATGTGATTCGAAAAGATAAGTCAAATAAAAAGCTGTACAGAAAAAAGATAAAAACCTCATTCGCTTTTAATGCATCGGTATACAAAAACAAACAAGGTATTCAAGCGCCTCATTGTTCATGAAGATACAACAATAGAATAAGAGCTGCAGTATGCCGAGGTTATCAGTGAAGCATAATAGCATCGTCAAGCCTACTCGTATAAATGTTGGTAAATTAAGCTATCATCTCCTAATTACCTTATGCGACTTGGCGTCATTACAGCTCTCAACAGGAGCAACAGATAGTATCAAAAGGTAGTAATTGGTAGTGAAGTAACGCAGCAGAATGTATCGTAGTGTATCGTAGTGAAAACATGGTAAAAATAAAAATAGCTCTACCCGAATTAGATTCAACTTGGAGCAACAGATTTGACCAAGGCGAGGTCAGAACTGCAGTCTTTCCAGATGAAAATAAATTTTGAGACAAGACTAAGTGAAAATCAACGGTATCGTCGTGGGAAAATTTAACTATTCATCCCTCTAGGATGAGCACGGCTCTTAGTTAAAGTCTAATCGTATTATCAAAACTTAATGATTGATGATAGACAAAGCTAGCCTACCGATATTATGGTCACGAATAGATTGAAAAGCGAAATATGATGGTATTAGTCGCAGATAAAATTGATGACTCTCCAATAGTGGTAAATCTCGAAGTGGTTTGACTGCCCGATTACTGTAAAATCAGCTTAGATTAGCACAAAGCAATATGTGGAAAAGGTTGATTCTGTAATGTGAACATTCAGGATCCTCACTTGATTTTTGCAGTGACGCAGAGTTAGGGTAAATAAAGAAGTTCTAACTGCTGTGCCACTTTCTACCCAAAACAAGATAAATGGTGGCAATCAAAGCCTAATATATAGTATTTTGAGATCGATAGTTTAGCTATGGATACAAACGTGCCTGCAATGTGACCACGCGAAAACGCTTCATCCTATCAAAAGCTATTATTGAGGCGTCGTCGAGCGTTTCAGTTACAAGTGTATCTCGTAGAGCATAGTAGAATGCTGGATTAATAGCCGGGTCCTTTGTTTGTACCAAGTCGTAAAGTCGATGCCATGATAACTTGGAATTGGCTGGAGGATCCTGGAAGGGAGCGCGGGCACGTTCTTCCCAAATTTTCATTTTGTCAAGTGCTGACAATTCACGTGCGAGCACGCATGAAGAGAAAAATAAAGTATTCTAATAGAAAAATAATGAAAAAGTTATTATAATTCTCAGTTAATCAATTAAAGAGACTAAGAGCTGTATTCACTCTTGGTTACATAAGGTGATGATTGATGGACAAGTTTTACCACCTCATGTTTCCTTTGAGATTCGCCTAGCCTTGTTTCTTAAAAGGTTTTCTTATCCGATGGACAAAAATTTCGACTTCGTATAGGTATAATCAATACCTCCAGCGGG